AAAAAAAAAAAAAAAGACCTAAATGTAACACAACTATATCAATAAAACAACAAAAGCCAAAAAAAATTTTATAACCTCTACAATAAGCTATTGGAGACTATTTTATACACTCAGGGTTAAGAAGAATTCCTTAAATAAGATCCCAAAAGGACAAACTATAAGGTAAAAGGTTAATAAATTTCATAATAATATAAATCAAAACCTTTATGGGCATAAATAAAAAAATAAATAGGTGTGGGCAACAAACTGGAAGAAGATAATTGCAATGCCTATTATTGAGAAAGGAGGAGTATAAAAAATATATATATCAATAACTCTTACAAATCAATATGAAAAAAAGACAAACAATGCAGTTGGAAAATGGGCAAAGGCATAAACAGGAATACGCAAAGGAAGAAAAGTAAAAAGTCCATAAAATTCTAAAATGGTGCTTTCCCTTGTCTTACTGCACTGGCTAGAACCTTTAGCTCAAAAATGCAAATCAAACCAACATTGAGATACTATCTCATACCCACTAGATTGGCAAAAATGAAAAAAGACTGACAACACCAAATGTGAGAATGAGAAGCAACAGGCACTAGAATACATTGCTTGTGGGAATGTAAATTAACACAATGATTTGGAAAGAAATGTGGCAATATCTAGTAAAGTCAAAAATATACATCTTTGGCCCTCCAATCCCCCTCCTGGGTATATCCTCAAGTAGTGTTTTTCCAACTGTAGGTTGTTACCTTTTCGTGGCTCATGAGTAGTATTTTCTTCCCTAATAATATAGAATAGAACAGAACAGAACACAATGTATCACAGAGTATATAGTTTGTAGTAGGGGCAAGTATTATTTAATGAAAAATTGTTACTTTAGTTACATGTGCATTTGTTTATTCTGGGTCACAATGTAAAATGTATTACTGTGTGATCTGTCAAAAGAGTTTGAAAGTTACTGCCCAGAGAAGCTATTACACATGTGCACAAGGAAACATGTAAAATAATTTTCATTTACAGAAACTATAACAGAAAAAATTATAAACAACCTAAGTATCTATCAATATACAAGATATTCAGATAATGAATGGAATACCAAGTGACAGTTAAAATGAAAACACAGCTGCATTATCAACATGGATGAATCTCAGAAAAATAATGCTGAATGAGATAACATAACGTTACAGAAAGAGTATCGGAGTGACACCATTAATATAAAACTTAATGCATGCAAAACAATGATAAATGTTATTTAATGATATATACACAAACAGCAAAAATATAAAGAAATGCAAAAGAATGATAAAGACTAAATATAGAATACTGGTTACCTCAGTGGAAGGGAGGAGGGAAACACGATTAGAAAGAGTTACACTGGAAATTTCAATACATCTGTAATTTTTATTTCTTAAAAAACATCTGAAGCAACATGTCAAAATAGTAATAACTGACAAAGCTGCCTAGTGAGTGCATTTGTGTTTGTTATATCAATCTTGATACTTCTCTGTATGATTCAAATATTCAAGTATTTTCTACTTGTTGGGCAACTTACCACAACTGTCACTCTCGAGGTACTAATCATGTCTATAGACCATGTGAATTTTTCCCCACTTCTTTAATTGATTAACCTACCCTTTATCACTTCAAAAAATAAATAAAGGAATAAATTCAATTTTATTTAAAAAGAGGTCCTCTAAAATTCATATTGGTGAGTGATACCAAAAAATGTCATCTGGCCGGACGCGGTGGCTCACGCCTGTAATCCTAGCACTCTGGGAGGCTGAGGTGGGTGGATCGCTCAACGTCAGGAGTTCAAGACCAGCCTGAGCAAGAGCGAGACCCCGTCTCTACTAAAAAATAGAAGGAAATGATCTGGACAACTAAAAATACATAGAAAAAATTAGCCGGGCATGGTGGCGCATGCCTGTAGTCCCAGCTACCTGGGAGGCTGAGGCAGAAGGATCACTTGAGCCGAGGAGTTTGAGGTTGCTGTGAGCTAGGCGGATGCCACAGCACTCACTCTAGCCAGGGCAATAGAGTGAGACTCTGTCTCAAAAAAAAAAAAAAAAAAATGTTCTTCTCCTAGATTTCAGCATGGCTGCTTTCAGTTTCTTTAGGTCTTTGTTCAAAGGCTACCTTATCAAAAATGATTTCCCAAACCATCCCTATAAAAGAGAGAAACTACTATGTCCCCTCAACCTCCTAACCTTTCTATTTTCCTTACTCCACTTTACTTTTTCTACAACACTTATCATCATCTGACATATTATATATTTGTTTATTTTCTTTCCCCTTCTGCCAGAATATAAGCTCATTAAGGTAATTTGTTTGGTTTACTGTTCTATTCCCAATGCCTAGAACAATGCCTGGTACATAGTGGGGCATACAAATCTTCTCTGAATGAATTAATGGGATACTACACATCTGTTAAATCATATTTCTAGGTTTTCATTTATTTTATTTTGTAAGAGAACTTTTTAGTCTAAGTCTGTCATTGAGGAATCCAAGCTGGTGTCCTGCTGAACCTAATAATGAATGTTCCAACTCTGTCCTCCACATATGAAATATTGGAGGTAGAGTAATGATATGGATAAAGGAGCCCTCACCGAAGCAAACGTGTTTGCTGCCTTTTCCGGATAGATGGATTAGACTCAAACACGTGAGGCCGTTTCCGTTTCTTTCCTGTTGCCACAGCAGCAGCGGCAGCCATTCCCACAGGACCTGAAATAACAATGTATGTGCTGAGATTAGGCAGAAACCTGTTAACTGTACAAGACAGAAAACAAAGGTACAAAAATGGTAGCAGTTCTTTCCTAATATGTTGTCAATAAATATAGAATGTTCCTGATATTATCAATATATTCTACCATCGTTTAACATGAATCATACTGTGATTTACCAATAAAACAATAAATCATTCAAAAAAGCAAATGACTTACACCTCCCCCCCAACATACCAGCTTGAATTCTGCATAATGTTGTTTTTGTTTGGGTTTGTTTTGCCAGCATGCCCATTCTGTTAAGGCAATATTCTCAGAGGTGCTAGGAAAAATTGCAGCACTGAGATGAAAAGCTTTGCCAAAATTGAAAAAAATTACAGATTTCAACATTCATTTCCATCCCTATGCCCCTGTTTCCATTCTCTAAGACACTGCCAAGTTAGGACAGTTGGAGATAATTATTCATACTTGGAAATTCAACTATAACACCTATAAGAGGAGTATGTGGAAGAATATCATCTTAGCTGGAAAACTTTCCTTATACATCTGGAAATTGTGCCAAAATGGAGTTGTTGACCATAAAGTCAAGTTGATGAAACATTCTGGCAGAAAAGATAAAAACTTTCTCACTCTGAGAAAATGTTAATAAAAGTTGGTCTGGCTCACCCTGAAACTAATGCATAATATTTTGTTTTGTTTTTTGAAGGGCAGTTGAAGGCTAGACTCCAAGGAATTACTAAAGTCTCTGATTCCTGGGATCTCAATAAATCAAAGACAATCTTTTTTTTTTTTTAAAAAGTTACACCTTTATCCTTTTTTGTGAATCCTATAAAAGGCTTAAATAAAAATTAAGTTTAATTGCTCACATTTATACTGACATATACATTCTAAGAGGCTCAAATAAAAACAAGCCTCCCTGTAAACCTAGATGAGCTTCTTTACATGTTGCTTAGTACTATAATCAGTCTGACTTAAATAAACCCCTCTAAAGAGCCCCAAAGCAAATAAAAAATAAATGACCGCTTTTTATCTTTTCATCAAGAACAGGTAGTATGGAAAAAATCTTATTACTGCATTTTTTCCAACATTTTATTTTATTTTGAAAAATTGTGGTAATAACACTTGACATAATACCTACTCTCTTAACAAAATTGTAAGTTTACAATACAATATTGTTAACTATAAACACAAAGATGTACAACAGATATCTAGAACTTTTTACCTTGCATAACTAAAACTTTATGTTTGTTGAACAGCAAGTCCTCACTACCCTCTTCCCCTAGGCCCCCGCAACCGTCATTCTACACTCTGCTTCTATGAGTTTGACTATTTCAGATACCTCATATAAGTGGAATCATGTAGTATTTTTCTTTCTGTGACAGGTTTATTTCACTTAGCATAATGTCCTTAAGGTTCATCCATGTTATCACATATGGCACCATTTCCTCCTTTTTTTAAAGCTGAATAATGTTCCATCACATGTATGTACCACGTGTTCTTTAGCCATTCATCCATCAATGGACATGTAGGTTGCTTTCACATCTTGGCTATTGTGAATTAATGCAACAATGAACACAGGAGTGCAAATATCTCTTTGGAATCCCGATTTCAATTCTTTTGGATAAATACCCAGAAGTGGGGCTGATGTATCATATGGTAGTTCTATTTTTAATTTTTTGAGGAACCTCCATGACGTTTTTCCATAGCAGCTGCACAATTTTATATTCCCACCAACAGTGTACTGGGGTTCCAATTGCTCCACAATCTCACCAATACTAGCTATCTTTTATATAATAAAGTATATAAATGCAAGCGTACATACAGCACATTTTAAAAATATATATATACCTGCAAAACCCAATCTCCATCAAGATACATAACAACAGCATC